GCCATTGCACTTCAGCCTGGGCAAGAAGAGCAAAACTCCGTTTCAATCAATCAATCAATAGAAGTCCAACAGATCTTATTTCTCCTATGGTGTGGTGGGTAGGATAATGGCCCTCCAAAGATGGCCACATGCTAATTGCTGGCCCCCGTGAATATGTTACTGGGCAAGGAAGAATAAAGATTACACATGGAAATAGGGTGCTAATCAGCTGCCTTTGAGATGGGGAGATTATTCTGATTATCTAGATGGGTGCCATGTAGTTAGAAGGGTCCTAATAAGGGAAAGAGCAGCAGGCCAGGCTCAGTGGCTCATAGCTGTAATCCCAGCACTTTGGGAAGCCATTGTGGGTAGATTACCTGAGGTCAGGAGTTTGAGACCAGCCTGGCCAACATGGTGAAATACCATCTCTACTAAAAATACAAAAATTAGCTGGGCGTGGTGGCATGTACCTATAATCCCAGCTACTTGGGAGGCTGGGGCAGGAATCACTTGAATTCCAGAGGTGGAAGTTGTAGTGAGCCGAGATCATGCCACTGTACTCCAGCCTGGGCGACAAAGAGAGACTCAGTCTCACAAACAAACAAATAAATAAATAAATAAGGGAAAGAGGAAGACAAGAGAGTCAGAAGCAGAAGCAGAGCCTGGGGTGATGCAGTCCTTGGCTTTAAAGATCGGGAGTGGGCCATGAGCTGTGGGATGCAAACAGCCTCTAGGAACTGGAAAAAGCAAGACAGTTTATTCTTTCCTAGGGCTTCCAGAATGAATCTGGTCCTGCCAACATGTTGATTTTAGTCCAGTAAAAATCTTTATCGTTTAACCTGCAGAACCATAAGACAATACATTTGTATTGTTTTAAGTCAATTCCTTACCATAAAGCTCTTAATATATATCCCCTTTTGGTTCTGCTTATCTGATTAAACCTGGACTGATACACATGTTAACCAATTTGATTCCCTGTTTAATAAAAGCATTAGGCCGGGTACAGTGGCTCACGCCTATAATCCTAGCACTTTGGGAGGCCGAGGCAGATGGATCACAAGGTCAAGAGATCGAGATCATCCTGGTCAACATGGAAACCATGTCTCTACTAAAATTACAAAAATTAGCTAGGCATGGTGGCGTGTGCCTGTAGTCCCAGCTACTCAGGAGGCTGAGGCAGGAGAATTGCTTGAACTCAGGAGGCGGAGGTTGCGGTGAGCTGAGATTGCGCCACTGCACTCCAGCCTGGGTAACAAGAGTGAAACTCCATTTCAAAAAAATAAAAATAAAAAAAATAAAATAAAAGTATTAAAGATCAAATTGGTGGCTGGCCACAGCGGCTCATGCCTGTAATCCCAGCACTTTGGAAGGCTGAGGTGAGCGGATCACTTGAAGTCAAGAGTTTGAAACTGGCCTGGCCAACATATTGAAACCCCATCTCTACTAAAAATACAAAAATTAGCTGGGCTTGGTGGCGCACACCTGTAATTCCAGCTACGTGGGAGGCTGAGGCAGAAATCACTTGAACCCAGGAGGCAGAGGTTGCAGTGAGCTGAGATCATGCCACTGCACTCCAGGCTGGATGACAGAGACTTCATCTTAAAAAAACAACAAAAGCCCAGGCGCGGTGGCTCACGCCTGTAATCCCAGCACTTGGGAGTCCAAGGTGGGTGGATCATGAGGTCAAGAGATCGATACTCAAGGCTGACACAGGAGAATTGCTTGCCCCCAGGAGGTGGAGGTTGCAGTGAGCCAGATTATGCCACTGCGCTCCAGCCTGGCCACAGAGCGGGACTCCATCTCAAAAAAAAAAAAAAAAAAAAAAGAAAAAGAAAAACAAACACCCAAAGAACAATAGTATTTCGTGACATGTGGAAGTAACGCAAAACTCAAATTTCAGTATCCATAAAGTTGTGTTGGAACACAGCTGCGCCTATTTATGTTGTTTATGCTGCATGCAAACTGCAGAGTTGATTTGTTGCTACAGAGATTGTAAGGCCCACAAAGCCTTCAATATTTACTGTCTGACTCTTTACAGAGACTGGTCAGGGAGGGCTTCCCTGAGGAGGTGATATTTAAGCTGAGACCTGAATAACAAGAAGACTGGAGGTAGCGGGCAGAGCTGTCTAGGCAGAGAGAACAGAGAGCAAAGGCAGTTTTCTCTCTAATCTTGTAAATCTTCTAAAGAGAAGTGTTACTAAGAAAAAAAAATATGAGGGGCCCTGAGGCGTTCAGGGTGCTGTAGCCTCTCAGGGTCATGGAAACCATAGGTCCTGAGGAGGGGTTGGGAGCCAGCACTGTCTGGCACCAGAATTTGCAGTGCCTTACGCTGGCGCCTTCTCAGCCTGCCATGGCATAGGGGCCCAGAAAATGCATGTTGAATGGCTTTATTTACGTTCCTTGGGCAAGGACCGGGGATTTTAGATTCATTCCCAGGAATTGGTGAGAAGAGCCAACCCACCCATGGGCCTGAGAGCAGGTTCTCTGCAGTCTCATGGTTGGTAGCAGGCCAAGAGAAGGCTAAGGCCAGGGGCTCCATGACCATGTAAAGCCCTGATCTGGCCCTGACAGCAGAATCTGTAGCAAGGGCAGTAGGCGGGACATTGGATAGGGAGGAACAGCCCTGGGTGAATTCCAGCCTGGTGGGTTTTCTGGTGCTTGCAGAAGAATAGCAGCCTCAAGCCCTCCACTGATAAGTGTGGCCAGGGAGAACTTCACTCTTTTTTTTTTTCCCCCCGAGATGGAGTCTTGCTCTGTCACCTGGGCTGGAGTGAGGTGGCATGATCTCAGTTCACTGCAACCTCTGCCTCCCAGATTCAAGCAATTCTCCTGCCTCACCCTCCTGAATAGCTGGGACTACAGGCACACACCCAGCTACTTTTTGTATTTTATTAGAGATGGGGTTTCACCATGTTGCCCAGGCTGGTAGCGAACCCCTGAGCTCAGTCAATCTGCCCTCCTTGGCTTCCCAAAGTGATGGGATTTATAGGCGTGAGCCACCGCGCCTGGCGGAGAACACCACTCTCAAACCTTTGCGGACCAGGTCATTCCCGCCAAGCTCTGTGCTAAGGAAGGAGAGTAGGTTATTAGCCCCATTTAAGAGCCAGAGAAATTAAAGCAGTGGAGAGCAACAGAGCTACTGGTTAAAACACAGGCTCCGTGCCTGGATCCCAGCCTTGTCATTTGATATCTGTGGGACTGCAGGCAAGTGCCTTGATTTCTCTGTGCTTTAGTCTGTGGATGATTGAATCTACCTCAAAGCTATGTAAAGAATTAAGGAAACAATAGCCCAACACCACACCCGCAGGAAGGAAGCAATTTTATTACTACTCAGTAAATATTGGTGGATCCCGAAGACATTCTCTCACAGCTTTGGCAGCAGTCTTAAGAGACCCTAGAGGACGAAGAACTCAAAGTCAGAGCCAGATTTCTTCTCCACCCAGTTCCTCTGGGCCAAAACCCTGACATCACACCTGACTTTTTTTTACACGCCATAGTCCATCAGCAAACCCTGTCTTCAGTATGCATCTACAGTCCAACTGTTCCCGCCACCTCCACCGTATTACTTTTATCCAAATTGGGCTCTCAGCGGTCACCTAGAATTTTGCAAAAGCCTCCTTACTGGCCCTGGGGCTTCCATCCTCTCTCCCCCAGCCCCCAATCAATTCCCAGCAGGCAGCAAAGCTCATGTTACTCCTCGGTTTAAAACCCTTCTGTGACTTCCTAACACACCTAATTAACTGATTTATTTACTCAATGATTATTATTGAGTGTCTACTATGTGCCAGGTACTGTTGTAGGCATTGCAGACAAAATGGAGAACAAAATAGACAAAATTTCCTGCATTCGTGTAGCTTCTGTTCTCATGGAGGGAAATGGTTAATAAACAAATGTATGAGTAAAACATGTGGTAGCCTGTCACGTGAAAAATAGTTTAGGGAAGGTGGGGGGCCTTGGATTTTAAGTAGGGTGATCAAGGAGGCCTAACACACAAGATAAGGGTTAAATAAAAGGCGGAACGTACAAGAGGTGGGAGTCAAAGAGCTACCCAGAAGAAGAGCACTCTAGATGAAGGCTCAGCAAGTGCACTGGCGGAAGTATTCCTGGTGAGTTTTGGACACAGCCAGGAAACCACCGTGACAATAGTGGAAAGTGAAAGTGTGTGGGAGGAGAGATATAGAGCCCCATGTCCCTCTCCCACACACTTCAGAGAGGAAAAGGTAGCAGGGTTGAATCCTGTACATTCCGCAAGGTGTTTTTCTCTGATGGAGACTGGAAGCCATTGGAGGGTCTAAGCAAGAGTGATGAGTTAACGGATCACTCCAGCTGCTGCGTGGAAGTCATAAGCAACAGAGGCAAGTCAGAGACCCTGAATGAAGCCGTTGCAATTATCCAGATGAGATAGAGTGGCTTGGATCAGGAAGAGAGGTAGCAACAGAAGCGGTTAATAAAGTCCAAAGTCCTTATGAGAGGGTGCCAGTCCTCCCGATGGGGGTCCCACCTACCCCTCCCACCTCGCCTTGTTCCTCCCTGCATCCCCACCCCACTGGCCACTGCTAGGCACATAGGAGGCATCTATTAAGCATCTGTTCAATCAATGAACTACTTAAGGAATGGTCCTCCCCTAGATCATCAGCATCCATTCTAACACTAGGCATATAGTCTGAACTCAATACATGTTTACTGATGGAACGCTGCACAGGCCTGCCAAGTCCAGGCGGTTATTCCTCTCCACAGCTGAGGGAAACTGAGGCTCAGATTGGGGAAGTGTTCCCTAGGGTCTCTCGGCACAGCTTAGGCTGGAGGCTGGGCACCCTTCTTCACAATTCTTTTAGCACAGCAAGTCCAGGGCACTGGGTGGAGGGTGCTTGCCGTAAGGGTGAGTCAGTGACCTCACAGTTTCCCCAAAACTGTGGTGGGGAAAATCCGGAATTTCTCGCGCCCAGGTGGTCACGTGCCTCAGGCCGGACAGGCGTCCGGAAAGCCCCGGAAGGGACTAAGGAGCTGTCCTCCCACGCGCTTCCTCCCACCCTCAGGCCACTGAGACCAAGGGACAGAGGGCCGCCCTCGCGCGGCTGTGGCCCCGCCTCCCGTTCGTCGGCCCGCGCCTCCAGCGGAAGCCGGAAGCAAAAGCGAGTCCTGTTAGCCCCGCGGCTCCGAACTCGGTGGTCTTGGAAGCTCTGCAGGATGGGGGAGAAGATGGCGGAAGAGGAGTGAGTGGGCTTTTTCCCGGGCTGCGGAGGCGGCGGGGCTGGGCCGCAGCGGGGCTGGGCCCCGGCGGGTGTCAGCGAGCGCCTCAGGCCGCCCGCCGGCCCCGGAAGGCGGAGCTTCTTTTGCTGGTTGGCCAGGACTGACCATGCCGGTGCCTACGAGGAGGGCGGGATGGGCGGGCCTGGGCCCAGGTGGGCTTTGCGTTCTCCTGGAGGTCTGTCCCTCGAGCTGGGAATCTGCTGCCCAGCGCAGGCCCCGAGAGCCGTCTTGCGGAAAATGCAACCCATATTTGCTTTCCCAGTTTTCGATCATCTCATGGTTACTGAGCCCGCTTCCGCCTCCTCCAGGAAGTCATCCGGATTCTCCACACCCACCTCCTACGTAGCCAGTCGCCTCTTCCTCTGTAACGATCAGTTTTCATGTCTTTCTCCTTCACTAAGTTTCATTCAGCCATTAACTGTTAGCCATCTACTCAATTCCAGGCCGTGGGCACGTGGTAGGAGAGAAGGCCGACCAGGAGCCGCTCTCTGGGAGCTTCCATTCCATTGGGAAAAGAAAACCGTGATTAGGCAAGAAGGGTTCAGATCGTGATTAATTAACCCCATTTGTGCGCTAAGCATGTGGGAGTTATTTATATTCTGCTGTTCAGGGTCATCCCCTAGGTCTGATTTTTCACACGTCTTCAATTCAAAAAGTTGCAACCTCTGGCATAAATGGGTTAAGTGTTCTGAAGGAAGCAGAATAGAGTTAGGGTTGAGGAGTCCACTCAGGAAAAAGTGACATTCAGCAGAAACTTGAATGACCAGAAGGAAGGATAGGAGAAGTAACATCAAGTTCAAAAGGCCTGGCTCGAGAAAGGGCTTAGTGCATTGAGTGACAGGCAGCATGGCTACTGTGTAGAGAGGAGGGGGTTCGCTGTACTAGGGGAGATAGGGAAGGACCGCCTGTGTCCTCCACGTAGTTTTGGGCAAGTCCACAAGTCATCTCCGTACCTGCAGGGCAGAGTTTTTTGCAGATTATAGATGCCGATTTATCACTGTTTGTGGGATGAATATGTGAAGATGAATAAGGAACCCTTTCATTGATACTGGACTCCTTCACCTGACAACTTTTCAAATAATATTTCTCGGCCAGATTGGGGTCATTTCATGTAATTAGCTTACGTATTGAGCAGCTGCTCAGTCCCAGACACTAAACAGGGCCTCAGCAGTAAGAAATAAAAGAGGCAGTATAGCCCAGCGACTTCACGTGTGGGTTCTCAGCTTGATTCTGCCACTAACTGAGATGTTGGTGAAGTTTTGCAACCTCCCTGAGGCTTAGTTTTGCATGGGTAAAAAAGGGAAAGTAGTAGTACCCACATCAGGCATGTTATACCCATTAAAGGAGAGGTAGTGTGTTACCTAGTTCCTGGAATGAAGCAGTGCTCAGAAAATAGTAACAATTACAGTTATTATAACAATATTGCACTAGTTGACAATCCCAGAGAAGAGAGCTGTGGGAACAGAAGCAGTGGAGTGGGTAAATTGGGGTGAGGTAAGATGGGGTAATAGAGAGGAGGTGACATTTGAGCCTTTTGAAATTTGAGAAGGATTTGTAAAGTAGGGCGGGGCATGCCCAGATCAACAACTGGGCAAATTTGTGTGGCTTCTTCAACTTGTGGAAGCAATGCAAGGAAAAGAATGTAAATTGGAGAAATAAAGATATAAGTAAACAGTGTTTGACCTTGGAGAGGATGAGACTCCAGTTTGCTTCCCTTTAAATCCCCCAGTAAGTGCCAAAGAGCAGGCAGCATTTTGATTCTATACTGGCCCTGATTCCCTATCATTCCTGTCCTCTAAGCGGCTGTACAAAAGCACCGGAGGCCACTAGTACCCTTGTGCTGTGCAGGGAGGGATTTTACTTAATAAGTTTCTCTCCAAGGCCTGCCTGTTAGTTCAAAGGCTTGTGAATCCCATAAAGCTCTTGGCTAGCTTTGCTTTCTGGTGTGAGGTATGTGAATTGATGTTCTGGGGCCCTTTTCTATGATCTAATTCTGCTTTTTATGTCTTCCAGTAGGTTCCCCAATACAACTCATGAGAGTTTCAATGTCACCCTCCACACCGCCCTGGTTGTGACGACGAAACTGGTGCTCCCGACCCCTGGCAAGCCCATCCTCCCTGTGCAGACAGGGGAGCAGGCCCAGCAAGAGGAGCAGTCCAGCGGCATGACCATTTTCTTCAGCCTCCTTGTCCTAGGTGAATACGGACACCGTCATCCCCATCATCTGCCATCTCCAGGGTCTGTGTGTTTAACCCTGTCACTGCTCTTGACTGTGTCAGGTCTCCCTCCCATTTGGTTTTCATATCAAACACTGAAAGAACATGATCAGTTCATAACAGGGAACTCTTTTTTATAAAATAACGGCACTTAGCAGTTCTGAAGAGCTCTTAAGGTAATACCTTAGCCTTTGAAAGAAAGAATTAAAGAATTTTTGGCCTAGAAAGAATCTTGCGGCTGGGCATGGTGGCTCACCCCTGACATCCCAGCACTTTGGGAGATAGAGGTGAGCAGATCACTTGAGGCTAGGAGTTTGAGACCAGCCTGGCCAACATGGTGAAACCCCATCTCTACTGAAAGTACAAAAATTAGCCAGGCATGGTGGTATGTGCCTGTAATCCAGCTATCTGGGAGGCTGAGGCAGGAGAATTGCTTGAACCTAGGAGGTGAAGTTTGCAGTGAGCCAAGATCATGCCACTGTACTCTAGTCTGGGCGATGGAGTGAAACACTGTCTCAAAAGAAAAAAAACAACAACAAAAACCATAATTTCTTTCAACCTTCTCTTTAATGGGTAAGGAAATTTCATCATGGAGAAGTCAAGTGATTGTCATATCAGGCTGGTTAAGGATAAGAGACTGATAACCAGGTTGCCAGATACCAGTCAAGAGGTTTAGATAGAAGACAAAAACTTAAATGCCTCCCAGAGGCAGTAGACAGTAGACAGTTGTTTTAGACAAAAGAAATCCAGTTGAAACTATACAACTACTTTTGATTAGCTAAGGAATAAATAGCTTTGAGTTTGACTGAAGTCCAAATTCTTGTTTGGCCAGACACAGTGGCTGATGCCTGTAATCCCAGCACTTTGGAAGGCTGAGGCGGGTGAATCACAAGGTCTGCAGATCGAGACCAGCCTGGCCAATATTGTGAAACCTCGTCTCTACGAAGAATACAAAAAAATTATCCAGGTGTGGTGATGGGCACCTGTAATCCTAGCTACTCAGGAGGCTGAGGCAGGAGAATCCCTTGAACCTGGGAAGTAGAGGTTGCATGAGCCAAGATCATGCCATAGCACTCCAGTCCGGTCAACAGAGTGAGACTCCATCTCAAAAAAAAAAAAAAAAAAAATTCTTGTTTGAAAGTAAAGCAGACTTTTCGTTTGCTGCTTTTCTTTAACAATACCAAAGTCATAGTCCTAATGAAATTAGATCTTTTCAGAAAGTTGAAAGGTGGACTCTTTTTTTATTATTTCTCTAATGTGTATTAGGACTGTTTTTTAAGGAAAAGTATAAGTTCTGTCACATTTGCATTTAGTCTCTGGTAAGTGGTCAAAGAATTTTAATAATATGTTTTGAGGCCAGAAGTTTGAGAACAGCCTGGGCAACATAGTGAGACTCTGTCTCTACAAAAAAATAAAATGTTTTAATAATATAGTCTTTGTCTTTGAAGTCCTAGGACTCGGCCGGGCATGATGGCTCGTGCCTGTAATCCTAGCACTTTGGGAGGCCGAGGTGGGTGGATCACCTGAGGTTAGGAGTTTAAGACCAGCCTGGCCATCATGGTGAAACCCCATCTTTTTTTAAAAAAAAAAAAAAGAAATCCTAGAACTCATCCTTATCGCTCATAGTTTTAGAAACTTTTAAACCAATACTGAAAAAGTACACAGACCAGAAGTATACCATGTCTCATGTAGGTTTAATATACCCTGGTAAATTTTTTTTTTTTAAGACAGAGTCTCACTTTGTTACCCAAGCTGGAGTGCAGTGTCATGATCTTGGCTCACTGCAGCCTCCGCCTCCCAGATGCAAGCAGTTCTCTTGCCTCAGCCTCCTAAGTAGCTGAAATTACAGGCATCTGCCACAATGCTGGCTAATTTTGTGTATTTTTAGTACAGACAGGGTTTCACCATGTTGGCCAAACGTCTCAAACTCCTGACCTCAGGTGATCTGCCCACCTCAGCTTCCTGAAGTGCTGGGATTACAGGAGTGAGCCACCATGCCCGTTCCACCCTGTAAACATAGTTGAATTCTTTTTCTAGGGGATTACTTCAACAATGAAGGACTCTTTTTTGTTTTGTTTTCCTTTTTTTTTGGTGATAGTAATTGAAGACAAAAAAGAAAAGCATTTCTTTTCTTGATTAAGAAATCTTTAGTAGCTGAAGTCTTCCTTCAGGATTAAGGAGTATTGTCTATTTACATTGCTGTCAATTTAATATGTTAGACAATGTAAAAGGCAGGCTTGGGAAAAAAAAAAAAAAAACTTTTGTAATTACTTCTTTTAAGGTAAGTTGAAAAGTATAATATGACTTTTAAAGTAACTTCCAGGGTGTGGAGCATTTAAGATTAGCTGTACAAAACACCACAAAACAGGTTTCTATAATGTACTTTTTAAACCAGGCAAAATCCTGCCCATTGTTAATACATTTTTGGGGCCAGAAAGGCTTAACTGTATTTAGTAGTGCTGTATGTTTCTCTTGGACCGTCCTCTCCAAACACATTATAAACCTAGATTCTAGAGTCACACCCGTGTTAGGTGGGTTTCATTTTCACCTAATCAGATTTTTTTTTTTTTTGAGGTTCATTTTTAATAACGTTTTATTCCACTGTAGCTTTTCTACCACCCTACATTCTCTGCGTCTGAGTCCAGGGTCCTCAGAAGAGATAGGGTGCTCTGAAGAGACAGGGCTGCCACATGGGGGGCCTCTCCCTGGAGCCGAGCCCACTCTGGGGAACCCTCGACCTCGAGCATGCCCCTAATCAGATTCTTGACAGTTTATGAGTCAGTGTTTCTGCTTGTGCGGTGGTCAGCATGTATTAGCAAAACAGAATTATGCTTTCTTTTTAAGTAAATTTGAAGGCATTGTTTCTCTGTCTTTCATATTATTATCATTTATTTCTGATTAGATATCCAAACAATGAAAATCTTTTTTTTTTTCTTTGAGTTGAAATCTCTTTTTGTTGCCCAGGGCGGAGTGCAGTGGAATGATCTCAACTCACTGCAACCTCTGCTTCCCGGATTCAAGTGATTCTTCTGCCTCAGCCTCCCAAATAGCTGGGGTTACAGGTGCCTGCCACCACGCCTGGCTAAATTTTGTATCTTTAGTAGAGATGGGATTTTGCCGTGTTGGCAGGCTGGTCTTGAACTCCTGCCGTCAGGTGATCCTCCCACCTCAGCCTCCCAAAATTTTTGCTGGGATTATAGACGTGAGCCTCTGCACCTGGTTCAAACAATGTAAATCTGATAATGTTTTAAAAATTACAGTTATTAGGTAGCTTGCTAATTCATAAATAAATGAACTCAAGTGAATTGAGGGAAATTAATCCATAGATTATTCTAGACCTCAGAACTCCTGACCAGGAATTTATTTGCCACTTTTGGTTACTCTTAGTTAATTCAAATGGAGCGGTAACTGTCCTGTAAGCACCTAGGATTACAGTGTGTTCCTCTTTGTTGAGAAGGGATGATATAACTGTAGTTACTTTTGACTTTTAGAAGCTTGAAGTCAGGTGACTTGCACTTAACCTTTGTTGATCTTTGACTTCATAAGAAACAGTGGCGAATCATTGTTACTTACTTACACTAAATTAATAGTTAACATTATTTGATACATACATTTTATAGGCCGTGAAACTTAATGGAGTTATTGGAATTGATACGTGTTTTATATATTTTCCATAGTCACTACTCCAGGCATGAAAAATTGGAAGCACACCCTCCATACCACAGAGAAGTTTTTGCCCCTTCTTGCTTTGTTTTTTTCCAAGTGTACTTGAAAACATGTGCTTGTTTTTGCATATACATATGTCTGTTTGTAACCACATACACATACACATGTAATGCGTAATGTATGTTTGGAGTTGGGAATTTGTTTTGCCATAGATGGGGTCCTATAACTTGACTTTTCCTCATACAGAATGTCTTGGAGATCACTGTGTTGGTGTTTTTTCTGTCTACCTTTTTCTTTTTTCTTTTTTTTTTTTTTTGGTAGTAAAATGTGCATAACATACATTTACAGTTTTAACCACTTTAAAATGTGTAATTCAGCAGCATCTAGTACATTCACAATGTTGTGCAACCATCACTACTATTTAGTTTCAGAACGTTTTCATCACCCCAAAAGAAAACCAATAAAGGCAGTAATTCCCCATCCCTCCCTCTTCTAGTCCTTGGCAACCACTATTCTGTTTTCTGTCTTTAGGAATTTGCCTATTATTTACAATATTTCATATAAATGAAATATAAAAGGCCATATAATATGTGGTCTTTTGTGTCTTGTTTCTATTACTTGGCATAATGTTCTCAAGATTCATGTTACAGCATATGTTAGAATTGTGTTCCTTTTTATGACTGAGTGATATTCTACTGTATGGATATACCACATTTTGTTTGTTCATTCATCAGTGAACATTTGGATTATTATTACTACCTTTTGGCTATTGTGAATACTGCTGCTATGAACATTTGTGTACAGGTTTTTGTGTAGATAAATGTTTTTGTTTCTTTTGGACATACACCTCCAAGTGGAATTATTGGGTCAAATGGTTACGCTATGTTTAACTTTCTCAGAAACTGACAAATGTTTTCCACAGGGGCTTCACCATTTTACAAGGGTTCCAGTTTCTTCATGTTCTTGCCAACACTTGTTTTCTGGTTTGAAAAAAATGATAGCCTGGGCATGGTGGCTCATACCTGTAATCCTAGTGCTTTGGGAGACTGAGGTGGGCATATCACTTGAGGCCAGGAGTTCGAGACCAGCCTGGCAATATGACAAAACCCTGTCTCTACTAAAAATACAAAAAAATTAACTGGGCATGGTGGCATACACCTATAATCCCAGCTATTCAGAAGGTTGAGGCACTAGAATCATTTGAACCTGGGAGGTGGAGGTTGCAGTAAGCTGAGATCGCACCACTCCACTCCAGCCTGGGTGACAGAGCAAGATTGTCTCAGGAAAAAAAAAAATTATATGTGTGTGTGTGTGTGTGTGTGTGTGTGTATGGCTATCCTAGTGGTTATGCAGTCATATCTCATTGCATTTTTTTTTTTTTTTGACACAGAATCTTGCTCTGTCACCCAAGCTGGAGTGCAGTGGTGAGATCTTGGCTCACTGCAATCTCTGCCTCCCAGGTTCAAGTGATTCTCCTGTCTCAGCGTCCCATGAAGCTGGGATTACAGGCGTGTACCACCACACCCTGCTAATTTTTGCATTTTTAGTAGAGACGGCGTTTCATCACGTTGGCCAGGCCAGTCTTAAGCTCCTGACCTAAGGTGATCTTCCCACCTTGGCCTCCCAAAGTGCTGGGATTACAGGCATGAGCCACCGCACCTGGCCCTCATTGTATTTTTTTTTTTTTTAATCTTGCATGTTCTTCCAGTGAAACGTTGCATTTTAATTTTCGTTTCTGTGTTGATTATTAATGTTGAGCATCTTTTCATGTGCTTATTGACCATTTACACATCATGTTTGGAGAAATGTCTGTTAACGTCCGATGCCCATTTAAAATCTGCGTCGTTTGTCTCTTGATGTTGAGATTAAGAGTTTTTTATATATTGTGGATACTGAATTCTTATCAGATACATGATTTGCAAATATTTTCTCACCTTCTATGGATTGTGTTTTCTGACTTTATTCTTTTTAATGGCTGAAGGCTTAATTACTTTAGTTACTTGGCATTGATGAGCCTTATATTTAGCTCTTTCTGTTAGTAGACAGGTTTCCGCTTTTGCTCTTAAAGCCACAAAGAGTTGTTTGATCTATGTATGAGAGTAACTTAAAATTTTAAACATCTAGCTTGGTACAAAGGAAGAGCAGAAACTGGTTCAACTTTCTTGGTCTATTTTCTGTCCACTTATGCACTCATTTGCCTTTTTTGGTTTTGTCTAGACAGTGGTCATGTTAATTAGTCACATGTTATGCTTATGCCCTGAAACTTTTTTCTTGCCCTTAGTATTTAATGTAGGATTTCTATCTAGGTTAAATATTTATATAAAAATAATACCACAGATTGATAGTTTAAAGCACAGAATTAAAAGGGGACAGAATGTCTACGTTTACAACGATCTGGCCACCTGGTGCTTTTTGGTGGGATTAAAGAAAACTAATTTGTCAGCATAACCTCTGAGAGTGACCAGTGAACAGCCATACGAATTGTTTAAACATTTCCTTGAAGAAAATAACAAAATTAATTTTAGTCCTGTTAATACTGTGATTGATGGGGTGGTATACCGCCTAGGTGCAAATGAAGACCATTTCTCAGAATCAGAAAAATTTGAATAATTTTACATGATTGTATAACATTTAACAGTTTATATTAAAAAATAGATTTCTGGCTGGGCACTGTGGCTCAGAGAAAAAGAAAGAGACATGCACACTAACATTTGGATTAGGAAATTACATTTAGGAATAATTTTTGTGAAGTATCCTATTTTTTTTCAGGGGGGTAGTCCAGAAATATCCCTTTCAAATAGTTTTATTTTGCATCTGCTTATTTTCTGTCATGACAACACCTCTGTGAGGAAAGTTAGACATTATTCTATTTTGGAGGTTGAGGAATGAAGGCATCCAGCCAGGAGGGAAGTGGTAGGGTCCACTGTGGTTAAGAGCACAGATTTGGATCTGACTCAGTACTGCAGCTCCTACCAGTGGTGTGACAGGTGCTGTGATGTCTTGAAGCCTCAGTTTTCTTTTTTTTTTTTTCTGAGACGGAGTTTCACCCATGTTACCCAGGCTGGAGTGCAATGGCGCGATCTCGGCTCACCGCAACCTCCGCCTCCTGGGTTCAGGCAATTCTCCTGCCTCAGCCTCCTGAGTCGCTGGGATTACAGGCACACGCCACCATGCCCAGCTAATTTTTTGTATTTTTGGTAGAGATGGGGTTTCACCATGTTGACCAGGATGGTCTCGATCTCTTGACCTCGTGATCCACCCGCCTCGGCCTCCCAAAGTGCTGGGATTACAGGCTTGAGCCACCGCGCCCGGCAAAGCCTCAGTTTTCTGATCTGTAATCAGAGAAGATAGTGGTAATCACAGCTAGTTCAGAGGGGAGTTGGAGGATTAAATGAAAGTGAATTTGGGGTGTTCAGCCTAGTTCATGGCTCATGGGAAGCCCTCAGACAGTGGGAATGGCAGGACACAGCTGTACCCAGCTGGGGGGCAGGAGTGGTCCATATTCAGATCTTGGCATTGATGAACCTTGTATTTAGCTCACGATTTAGAACAAGATGTTCTTGTCACCAAACCAAAATATTTACTTTTTCCTGTTGTAAAACCCTTACTTCCCTGTATGTTAAGAGCCAGTCACATGGCGGCAAAATAATTTGTGTCATTGCAATCTGTTGTGGTTACATTTGTGCAAAAGTGATTGATTTCATTGACTTCCTCTTCACCATATAGAGTGTTCCCGTTGATAATCACTTCCAAAAAGTTGAAGACCATTTCTCAGAATCAGAAAAATTTGAATAATTTTTACATGATTGTATAAGGTTTAACAGCTTATATTAAAAAACAGATTTGTGGCTGGGCACTGTGGCTCAATGCCTGTAATCCCAGCACTTTGGGAGGGCAAGGTGGGTGGATTGCTTGAGCCCAAGAGTTGGAGACCAGCCTGTACAACATGGTGAAACAAAAAATTTAGCCGGGTATGGTGGCATGTGCCTGTAGTCCAAGCTACTTGGGAGGCTGAAGTGGGAGGATCACCTAACCCTGGAAAATTGAGACTGCAGTGAGCCTAGATCACACCACTGCACTCCAGCCTGGGTGACACAGTGAGATTCTGTCTCAAAAAAATCAGGTTTCTGTGGTTCTTCCAATAACTACTGGAAAACAAACTAGTTCAGACAGACAAATAAGTATAGAGAAAATATAATAAACATTGTAAATGTACCTCCAGTTTAAAAAATGAGACATGAAAAAAACAACTGAAGTTCACTATGTTATATTGAAATTTTTGTGAGGGCAGTCCCAGAAAGAACCACTGACTGGAACTTGGTGTTTATTATTTAAAATAGCGTGTTGTTTGTTTTTTTTTAAACAATGTCTTATTTTTTTTTCCCACAGCTATCTGCATCATATTGGTGCATTTACTGATCCGATACAGATTACATTTCTTGCCAGAGAGTGTTGCTGTAGTTTCTTTAGGTAAGTGCGTATTGGTGATTCCATAATAAAAGCAGTAACGGTAACTACCATTTTTTGAGTGTGTCTTTAGTGCCAGCAACCACAAGAGATGCATCACATCCCTGATCTCATTTAATCCTCACTGCAACGTGCCCTAAGGGTATTATGGTCCCATTTTACAGATGAGGACACTGGGGCTCAAGAAGGGTAGTGACCTGCTAAAGGTCATGTAGAAGCCCAATGGCCATACAGCTCTGTACAGCTCAAAGGCCCTTTCTTAGCTTTTACTTCTGATAGAACTACCCTTGGGGAACATTGACCTCTACTACTAGGCTAGGCTAACATCCAACTCAACTAAGGTAAGTAATGACCCTTCATAGAATCACTCAGTTTTGGCAGGGCATGGTAGCTCACGCGTGTAATCCCACCACTTTGGGAGGCCGAGGTGGGCAAATCACCTGAGGTCAGGTGTTTGAGATAAGCCTGGCCAACATGGTGAAACCCCGTCTCTACTAAAAATACAAAAAATTAGCCAGGTGTCATGGCACACGCCCATAATCCCAGCTATTTGGGAGGGTGAGGCAGGAGAATCGCTTGAACCCGGGAGGCAGAGGCTGCAGTGAGCTGAGATCACGCCATTGCATTCCAGCCTGGGTGACAGAGTGATACTCTGTCTCAAAACAAAAAGAATCACTCAATTTTATAGACAGAAGGGACTCTGACTTGACGGTTTAGGAGGGAGAAATGGCTCACTTAATGCCAGAGTCAGATCTAAAGTCTTCAGAGAGCATTCCACTCTACCCCACTTAAATTTCTCTCTTGTTTCCTGTGCCAATTAAGTGTTAAGATCTAGTTGCAGTGAATGAATTCATGTAATGACAAGTGTGAATGCACACGCAAGTTTAGTGAAGGAAGTGGGGAGTTTCAGTAAATAGAAGTTCAAGACTAAAATGTGGGTGGAGACACGTAAGGCACAGTAAATAAAGTCTTGCTAAGGTCAGCCAAAGCTTTTTACCAGTTTATTATTTTGTAGTTACTTTTACGAGTTTCCACTTGCCTACTAATGGCATTTAATTTTTCCTGATCACCGCTGATGTTCAGAAGTTAACTTTCATTGCCTGGTAGATCTTTAGTGGAGTAGTAGTTCTTTCACAAGATAGTTATTATTTAGGTTGGCTTTGGACATGATCATTCAGATTCTGTTCACTAGCTTCCCTCTCCTCCCATCACCACCAATAGTCCTGCTACCCTGGTTCAGACTCTCCTGAATTTTCCCTCGACTTCAGTACTACTAAGTGCCAGATCCTGGCTTGTGAGCCTTCACAGTGTCATCTCATTTATGCCTTATGACCTCTAGGTGATGCCATATTTTAAGGAATGGGCACCACTGGATAGTATTGATCTTCAGTACAAGCTTGGAAACCAGTTTTACTCAAAGAGTTCTTGTTTTCTTTTAGCATGTTTTTTAGCCAGTGTATCTTGGTAGATTCTAACAACCTTAGCTAATAAAATAGTTCTAGAGCTCCGAGAATAGAAGGCTTGTTCATTAACATTCCTTTCTGCTGTTAGGCATATTGAAAAGAACCTATGTGGTTAATACTCATAATTCTGGCACATTCAGTAAAGACTTAAAGCACTACTCCAAAGAATTTATAGTTTTGTGGTCAGCTTTATAGCTTCTTAAAGAAATTTGCTATCAAAATTATAGTTGGTGTGTATTTGAGTGTTATACATATGAAAATTAAAATGATAATTCTTATAATTTGGTTTGGAATTTCTTTCTTTCTTTCCTTTTTTTTTTCTTTTAAGACAAAATCTCACTCTGTCACCCAGGCTGGAGTGCCATGGCACAGTCTCGGTTCACTGCAATCTCTGCCACCCGGGTTCAAGTGATTCTCCTGCCTCAGCTTCCTGAGTAGCTGGGATTACAGGTTCCTGCCACCACGCCTGGCTAATTTTTTAAAAAATTTTTAGTAGAGATGGGGTTTCACCATCTTGGCCAGGCTGGTCTTGAACTACCGACCTCGTGATCCACCTGCCTTGGCCTCCCAAAGTACTGAGATTTCAGGCGTGAGCCACTATGCCTGACCTCTGGTTTGGAATTTCAAGCTCTTCATATTTCTTGAATGTTTGGGTAGCTGCAGCTTGCTGAACACCAGTGCTTCTATTAGGATTTAGAGCAGATGTTGTTGGTTGCTTACCAAAGAGTCATTTCCCCCCTTCTTCCTTGAAAATAGAACCCCAGTTTTGATCAGATATCTTGCCACAGTGTGCTCAAGGAAGATGGGCCCCTCCAACTCAAGATTGGTCTTTGCCATCATGTTAATTTCACTCTTTGCCAATGATTGGTTGAGAGGGGTGGAGGCAGCGAGGCAGTGTGAAACCCAGTTCTGGCCAGTGACACCAAGGGGAAGTATGAGGAGGTGGTGGGTCCTGGAAAACATTTTCTTCTTCAATAGTAATGAGAAATTTCTCCTTCATTTCTTTGATGCCGCTGCTGAATAAGATTGTGATGCCTAATGTATGGGTAGCCATCTTGCAACTATTGTGGCTCAAAGACAAAAGCCAGAGTGCTAAGGATTGCCAGGGGGACAGATGGGAATCCCAGATTCTTGATTGCATTGTTGCTTTGTTGAATTGATAGCCTTGAAGCTTCCTATCTCAGTGCTACCCGTTATATGAGATAATAAACATCTATTAGCTATTGTTAATTTGGAATAAAGAGAAAAATCCAACATTTATTATTTAAGCCATTTTTAGTCTAGGTTCTTTTACTTGCAACTAAAAGTATCTTAACTAACATAGAACTCTTTCCATTCAAGGGACAAAACCCAATTTAAAAGAAATCAAATTGGCCAGGTGAGGTGGCTTATGCCTGTAATCCCAGTACTTTGGAAGGCTGAGGCAGGCGGATCGCCTGAGTCCAGGAGTTCAATACCAGCCTGGCCAACATGGTGAAACCCCATCTCTACTAAAAATAGAAAAATTAGCTGGGCGTGATGGCAGGCGCTTGTAGTGTCAACTACTCTGGAGGCAAGAGAACCACTTGAGTCCAGGAGGTGGAAGTTGCAGTGAGCCCAGGTCACAGCAGAGCACCGCAGCCTGGATGACAGAGCAAGACTCCATCTCAAAATGAACAAACAAAAAATTGGTTTGAGGTCACACGTGTGTTGGCTCATATAATTGGCAAAACTACAGGTTATATTAGCTTGAGACAGCTGAATCAGGTCTCCTGGACCCAGTTCTCCATGTCTCAGCAGTGAATCCCTTTTCCTTGACTTCACTCTCAGGCAGGGTCTCCATCCACAGGTTCATTTCTTCACCGATGTTGCAGAAATAATTGTAGCCTGCACAGCCAGGTCTTGGGAGAAGTGATGGCAGTCTTGCTTTCAATACTTATTTGCTAACTCAGGTGACTGAAAACCTACGAGCAGTTCCAGGGAAAGTGGTGGGGTCCAGAAAGTACTTTTTAAAAATTACATTAGAGGACATTTGGTTAGAATTTGCATATGCTGACATAGCTATCAAAATAATTCTGTATTTCATAAAGCTATAGAAATTGAAGGAAAATTTTTTCCTCAACTGGAACAAAGTGTAACTAAATATTGAGATATCTACCATTTCAAGAATTTCCAACTTTTGTGCCAAAAAAGAATCTAGATGAAGATGCCAGAGAAAGTAGGGTTTTCATTCTTTCAGGGATAAATTTTCCTTGCCTGCCAGAGGTTACTTTGTAGTTGGCAGTCATTTTGAGACATTGTTGGTCTTTTGGTTTGTAGTTCGGTGTTCAGCGTTCTTAAGAAATTGTCGGTATAGCAAAGGACCATCTGTACTCTAAAAGCACATGTCCCCCCTTCTACTTTTTTTTTTTTTTTTTTTGAGACGGAGTTTCGCTCTTGTTACCCAGGCTGGAGTGCAATGGCGCGATCTCGGCTCACCGCAACCTCTGCCTCCTGGGTTCAGGCAATTCTCCTGCCTCAGCCTCCCGAGTAGCTGGGATTACAGGCATGCACCACCATGCCCATATAATTTTTTGTATTTTTAGTAGAGACGGGGTTTCACCATGTTGACCAGGATGGTCTCGATCTCTTGACCTTGTGATCCACCCGCCTCGGCCTCCCAAAGTGCTGGGATTACAAGCGTGAGCCACCGCGCCCGGCCCTTTGTTGTATTTTTAAATGAGTGTCTATCTGGCCACTTTTTATTTTTTATAAAAATATAGTATCAACCGGAAGTTCTTTTTTTTATTATTAAAAAAAATTTTTTTTAATTTATTTTTATTTTTTAAAAATTTTATTATTTTTTAAGAGATGGTGTCTTGCTGTGTTGCCCAGGCTGGAGTGCAGTGGCTGTTCACAGGCGCGATCCCGCTACTGATCAGCATGGGAGTTTTGACCTGCTCTTTTTCCGACCTGGGCCGGTTCACCCCTCCTTAGGCAACCTGGTGGTCCCCCGCTCCCGGGAGGTCACCATATTGATGCCAAACTTAGTGTGGACACCTGATCAGCATAGCGCACTACAGCCCAGAACTCCTGGGCTCAAGTGATCCTCCCACCTCAGCCTCCTGAGTAGCTGGGACTACAGGCATGCGCCACTGTGTCTGGCAACCTGAAGTTCTAAAGAGTTCCTTGGGGACCCTGTTCAAAGCTTTCAGAATACTTTCTATACTTTATGGAATTCTGTAGTTTTGGCCTTTTAAAAACTAATTCCTTTTGTACAGCTAAACAACTATATTAAAAAAAAGTGTTTATTGACAATTTTTTAAAATTTATTTTTATTTTTTTGAGACAGTGTCTTGCTCTGTTGCCCAGGCTGGAGTGCAGTGGCGTGATCTCAGCTTACTGCAACCTCTGCCTCCTGGATTCAAGTGATTCTCCTGCCTCAGCCTCCCAAGTAGCTGGGACTAGAGGCGTGCACCACCATGCCCAGCTAATTTTTGTATTTTTAGTAGAGACGGGGTTTCACCATGTTGGCCAGGATGGTCTCGATCTCTTGACCTGGTGATCTGTCTGCCTCAGGCT